GTGTGATGGGAAAGGGATCAGGGCTCTCCAAATCTGATCATTAATGACTCCTTTCCATCATTAGGGGGGGCACTGCCAGAGGCAGGCCCCCCATTACTCTTCGCCATATTTATTCCGCGGCATATTATGGGGGCCACTCCCAGCGGCAGGCCCCCCTATTACTCTTTGCCATATTTATTAGGGGGGCCACTGCCAAGGGCAGGCCCACCTATTACTATCCAAAATACTTATCAGGGGGGCCACTGCCAGCGGCAAGGCCCACCTATTACTATCCAAAATACTTATTCCGCAGCTTATTAGGGGGGCCACTGCAAGCGGGAGGCACCCCTATTACTCTTCGCTATGTTTATTCCGCGGCATATTAGGGGGGCCACTACCAGGGGAAGGCCCCCCTATTACTCTTCGCCATAATTATTAGGGGGGCCACTGCCAGTGGCAGGCCCACCTATTACTATCCGAAATATTTATTCTGCGACTTATTAGGGGGGTCACTACCAGCGGCAGGCCCCCCTATTACTCTTCGCCATTTTTATTAGGGGGGCCACTGCCAGGGGCAGGCCCCCCCCATTACTATCCAAAATACTTATTAGGGGGGCCACTGCCAGAGGCAAGGCCCACCTATTACTATCCAAAATACTTATTCTGCGACTTATTAGGGGGGCCACTGCCAGCGGCAGGCCCCCCTATTACTCTTCGCCATATTAGGGGGGCCGCTGCCAGCGGCAGGACCACCTATTACTCTTCGCCATATTTATTCCGCGGCATATTAGGGGGGCCACTGCCCGCGGCAGGCCCCCTATTACTATCCAAAATACTTATTAGGGGGGCCACTGCCAGAGGCAAGGCTCACCTATTACTATCCAAAATACTTATTCCGCGACTTATTTTGTTGGGGCCACTGCCAGTGGCAGTGGCCCCAACTAGAATATTTTCTAGTTTTTTTGTTATTTTCCCTGATCTCGATCGATGTTTTTCTTAATCAGATTGTGTGAAAATGCACTATTCTTTGATTTGATACGCAAATTTTTAACCATCCTCACTCCTGATTTGCTCCAGTTAG